AAAATATATATAAAATACATCAGAAATATATATATATATATATATATATATATATATATATATATATACACATATATCTCCAAAAATATATAATATGTATATTTTATAACTAAAATACACCACATTATGGAAGCTAAACACGAGTGTTTGGTTCAGATACGGTTGAAATGATGCTGTAATGAGATCAACAGGATGCTATAGTGAGAAACCGAATAGACTGACATCAAACCATTGTTTCCAGAAATATTCCCAGTCCTGGTGTGTGTAACAGCGTCAATCGATGAGAGCATTTCAAACACCAGCGAGGGACTGGAGGTGTGCGTTTATAAGACTGGTGTTACCTTAAATGTTCCCGGTGAGACCAAACTAACCTAATAAACCCAGCTGGACCACAAACAGTCTGCCCACAGTATCCAGCAGCAGAGAATCAGTCCAGCACACCACAAACTCATTTGCATTTTTGTCTTATTTTCCAACAGAAAGAAATCTAAACCTCCTTCAAATGATACGATTGGTCAATGTTCTGTACAGGTTTATGCTTTAACAAAAAGTTATTTTCATTGGTTAGTTTACCTTGGCACGTCCTCTCATTGGTCAGAAGTTTGTATCCTTTCTTGCAGCTGCATTCAAAGCTGCCAACTGTGTTTCTGCACACATGGTCACACCCGGCGTTGTTCATGCGGCATTCGTCAATGTCTGTAACGAGAGAGAGAGAGAGAGAGAGAGAGAGAGAGAGAGAGAGAGAGAGAGAGAGTTTGAGCAGATAAACATGCACTGGATTAGTGCTGATCCCTTCAGTTCACCGTGATTCAAACCAGCAGCGGAGGATACATGTGAAATAATCAAAAGGTAAAAGGGGTGACTGACCGTAAATATGACAGATTTGTCTGGGCTTAAACTATCAGCTTACTGTTCAAATCAGAAGAAGACAGGGAGAAAGAAAAGTAAAAAAGAAAAGAAAAGAATTTTCTTTTATATAGAAATGTTACATAAATTTAAACAATTTGGGGAACCTTACAACATTAAAAACATTAAAAAAAAAAAAAAAACAACAACTTCAGTTTACAGCATAAAAATAATGAATAAATGCAAAAGACTTCAAGACTTCAATCAAATCATTTTGGAGTAATGTTGGAGTTATGTATAGAAAAAAGAAAAGACAAGAAAACTAAAGAAAATATAAAAATAAATTGTTATAGAAACTGTATAGAAATACATACAAATTGGAGAAACTTATAAAATCAAATAATTCTTAGTTTCTTTGATTTATAAGAAAAATAAAACCTTTCAATGTACAGAGTAAGAATAATAAATTACAGAAAATACCTTAACAATAACAGTCACATAATCACATAATTTAGCTCTTCATATTTAAAAAGCAACTATTAAAAGTTATTTCATGTCATCAGAAAATTTAACTAATTTACTCCTAATTAATTTCACCTAAGAATTCACCTCGACCACAGACTTAATTAAACATAATCAGACTGTTTGTCATTTTGTAAAAGGCATACTCTGCTTGAATCCTGGGAGCTTTAAGTGTCTTAAATATTGTTAATTTCCTTTCAGGCGCCAGAAAATTTACCAGATAGATTCACTTTATTTTCTGAAGCAACATATTTGAGTCCAAATGTTTAAGTCTGTGATATTAAACAGTGGTATTTCTCAAGCACTCCTCTAAAATCTAAAATGATTACATTTACGCATTTTGCAGATGCTTTTATCCAAAGTGACTTCCATTGCATCGTGTTTACATCGGCTTTTGTATTCCCTGGGAGTTTAACCCATGACCTCGGCGTTGCTAGCGCCGATCTCTATCGTTTTAGCTACAGGAATCAAAGAAGAGAAGTGAGAAAATGAGGCACGCAGACAAGAAATGAGGAGAGAATAAGAGAAAGGAGCGAATGCGAGAGGACGAGTGGATCGTGAGGGACACACATGGAGCAAACGTGCAGCTTCAGAGTCGCTGCGGGACTCCGACAGGAGGAAGTCTTTCAGGATCGCGTCTCCTCTGGCCTGTTCTCTCGGAATTGGGATCAATATATCATCAGCTTGTCCTGCTTTCCACTGGCTTTGATTGAGCTGCACTGGATGTTTCTGATTACGGCTGAATCATCTGAGTAAATGAGGCGTTCATCTCAGAGAGAGGCTGCATCATCTGGAGAAAATAACGGCATTAGGAGCAGAAGAAACTCTCGCTCTGGGCCTGAAGGAGGCTACGTGTCTTCTCGTGCCAGTGCTGTCTGGAGATGTTTTTCTTTGTTTCTTCTACAGCAGAACTAATAAAACTCAATGTTCTTTTATCGCTCTTGTTAGCGTAACGTTATGAGCGCTAGAGGCGACGCAGGCTCCCAGTCTTGAACCCGCAAGTCTGCACTTCCAGTTGCTCTTCACCCTTTCAGAAACTCTTTTATTCTTCGTTAAACCCTTTCGTGCTCCCTCGTCTATTTTTCATGCTTCTTTACTTTCTTCAAAAGCAGTCGTTGATTTATATACACTTTTTCTGACATTTTTCTGGGCTACGAGATTATGGAAATTTCATCTTGGTGGCTGAAAACGTTGGAGTACCACTTACAGAAAAGAAAAGAAAAGAAAATAAATTCTATAGAAATTTTTATAAATTGAGGAACTGTATAAAACCTTATTAAAATATAAAAAAAAACTTACGCAGGAAGAATAAATATCTGCAAAAGACCAAAAACAACCACATAATTACAAAATTTAACTCTCCATTTGAAAAAAAAAATTTAACTATTTTTTTTGTCATGACAAAATTAAAATACATTTTATTCCTAAATAATTTCACCTAAGAATTCACTTTGACCACAGGTGTAATAAAAAATAATCAGACTGCGTGTCGTTTTGTAAAAAACAGACTCTGCTTCAATCCTAGCAGCAATATGTGCCTTAAATATAGCTAAAATACCGATAATTTTGCATCACCCACAATAAAATGTAACAGTAAGAAAAGACAGAAAAGAAAAAGAAAAAATTAAGAATGAAGAATTTTTTAAAGAAAAAAAAGAGGTTGCTAACCACCTTTAACCGCCGAAGCGTTTGGTGGTTTTTATGTGACGTCAAAATGGTCACATTGGAGAACTCTGAGCTTTCATGAAATGTTCCCAACTTGTAATTACGAGATCTTCAAAAATGTGAACACTGTTTACAAGTTGAGAACTCATAATTACGGTAATTCAGAAATGACGGCATGCAATAATGAGTCTGGGTGTGAGTTTTCTGATTTCTTGTCTTTGAATTCAAAATATGCTGAAAGCTCCAGGACTGATCATGATTTGAAACATTGTCCATGTGAAATGGCATTTTTGCAAAGTAATATGATGAGAAATTTTTCCTCTACCCATTAAACCTCACTGTTCCTCTATCTATCTATCTATCTATCTATCTATCTATCTATCTATCTATCTATCTATCTATCTATCTATCTATCTATCTATCTATCTATCTATCTTATGACCTTACTCTATAATCCATCCACCATTCCATCTATCCATCCGTTTATCTATCTATCCATTCATCCATCCGACTATCCATCCATCCATCCATTCGTCCATCTGTCCATCTATCCATCCGTTTATCTATCTATCTATCTATCTATCTATCTATCTATCTTATGACCTTACTCTATAATCCATCCACCAGTCCATCTATCCATCCGTTTATCTATCTATCCATTCATCCATCCGACTATCCATCCATCCATCCATTCGTCCATCTGTCCATCTATCCATCCGTTTATCTATCTATCTATCTATCTATCTATCTATCTATCAATTCATCCATCCGACTATCCATCCATCCATCCATTCGTCCATCCATCATCTATCCATCCCTCCATCCATCCTTCCATCTGTCCATCCATCATACATCCTCCCATCCATCAATCCATCATCCATTCTTACATCCATCCATCCATCTATCTGACTATCCATCAACCCATCTATCCACTCATCCATTCTTACATCCATCTGTCTGTCTGTCCGTCCGTCCGTCCGTCCGTCCATCCATCCATCCATCCATCCGTCCATCTATCCATTTATCCATCCATTCCTCCATCAATCCATCCTTCCTCCTATCCATTCGTATGTCCGTCCATCCATCCATCCATTCTTCCATCCATCGTTCCATACATCCATCTGTGTCCGTCCATCCATCCATCATCCGCCAATCCAACCATCCATCCATCATCCAGCCGTCCATCTATCCATTTATCATCTGACTAGTATCCATCCATTCCTCCATCAATCCATCCTTCCATCTATCCATTCGTCTCTCTGTCCGTCCATCCATCCATCATCCGCCAATCCAACCATCCATCCATCATCCAGCCGTCCATCTATCCATTTATCATCTGACTAGTATCCATCCATTCCTCCATCAATCCATCCTTCCATCTATCCATTCGTCTCTCTGTCCGTCCATCCATCCATCTGACTATCCATCCATTCATCCATCAATCCATCTATCCACTCATCCATCCATCATCCATTCTTCCACCCATCATCCGCAAATCCAACCATCCATCCATCCGTCCATCTATCCATTTAACCATCCGACTATACATCCATTCATCCATCAATCCATCCTTCCATCTATCCATTCGTATGTCCATCCATCCTTCCATCCATCCATCCATTCTTCCATCCATCGTTCCATCCATCCGTCTGTGTCCGTCCATCCATCCATCATCCGCCAATCCAACCATCCATCCATCATCCATCTGACTAGTATCCATCCATTCCTCCATCAATCCATCCTTCCATCTATCCATTCGTCTGTCTGTCCGTCCATCCATCCATCTATCCATCCATCTGCATACCTATCCATCTGTCTATCCATCTTAATCTCTTTCATGTTAAACTAAATTTTTCTCATTGACCCCTCAAAACCTGGTTTATAATCTGCTGGGGTTTTATCACTTCATGCATCCTTTTCTCTTTTAACTAGAACAGAAGAATGCATGTCGCTCCTCATTAGGACTGTTAGATTTGTCTGTGAGATTAGAGGATGATCATACCTTTGCAGGTCTTGCGGTCCGACTGTAAGGTGAATCCCACCGGGCAGCTGCAGCGAACTCCAGTCACGGCATCATGACACGTGCTGTCACAGCCTCCGTTATTAACTGCACACGTCTCTGAAAACACACACACACACACACACACACACACACACACACCCACACACAGAGCAGCAGTCAGGACAGGAACAGCTTAACACATATGTGGATATTAAACCAAATGAACATCTCGTCTTGCACACTCTGGACAGCTTTGATTAGTCTAGTCATGAATGCAGCACATGCAAGCGAGCAGCAAACGTCTGTCGAACACCTTGTTATTGAGTGTATGAGCGTCGCCTAACAGGGGGGTTAGAGTTCAGCGTTCCGCTAAAGCATCTGTTAAGCAGCAGATTAAAATTTCACAATGACCATGACACTGCATTATACATATGCATAAACTTGAACTTTCTCAAATCACCAACTCTCATTAAAAATAAAATGTCTTCCAGTCACTTTGTACAAATAAACCACCCCTTTAAATGGTAACAACAACAACAACGATAATTAATAATAACAACAATAACAAAAACAACAATAATTAATAATAACAACAACAATAATAACAATAATTAATAATAATAATTTATTTATTTACTTGTTACTTTCAGGGTTTGGGGTAGTCAATAAAGACAACAATGCCTGAAGAACAACAATAAAAAACCTATTATAAATATTGATGCTTATAAATAAATAAACATTATTATTTAATTGTATTATTTCATTTAATTGTATTATTATTATTAACACTACATAAATAACACTACATAAATAAATAAATAAATAAATAAACTTTATTGTTTAATTTTATTGTAATATTTTATTTATTTTAATTGTATTAATACATTAACAACTAAAAACAATTATCTATATCTATATATAATCTATTATATATGATGCTTGTAAAGAAATTGATTAATAATAATTATTATTAATATTATTATTACTAATTCTACTGGGTACTTTTAGGATTTGGGGTAGTACGTAAGAGAGTAAGTAAATACATACATACATAATGTTGTTGTTATTGTTATTCATTTATTAGTGTTTGGCATAGTCGCAATACATGAAAAACAAACAAAAAACTATTTTAATCTACTGTATAGTGATATTAATAAATAAAAAAGCAACACAAAAAAAATGATTCTTTCCTTATACTGCTCGCTTAATAATCTAAGCACAATAACTGTCTTGAATAAGGGTTTACCACAAAGCTCTGCCGGCATTCATCAGAACAACTTTATAAAAGAGACAGAGCGCGCGAGATGTTGGAGGTGTGTGCACCAGGGTGCAGGTCTGTGTCACAACACGCCTCCAAAACGCTTCGAGATTCACAAACTGCATCCATCTCTGATATAACGCTTGACATCTACGGATTTGAGAGCTGGAACACGCTCACACACAAAATACTCGCCTTTGTGAGGGGAAATTCTCTCATCTGAAAAGATTTGATTCAGCTGTGTGAGTGGATATAAATATAATCTTTTGATAGAGGAGATGATAAGCGGTGTCTGATTCACTGGGAGACACCTGTGAGCTTACTGAAGCACGCTTTACCCTAAACTAATGATCCGTGCAGTGAGCAGAGTTAACCATCAAAGCAAAACTCTGGAGTTATTCAGCCGACTGTCTGAAGCAGTCCTCTTTCACGGGTCAACGATACGCTGAATGACATCAGTTCAACATTCAACTGATCCTCTGACATAATAAATCACTCTAATCAGTTTAACTACATGATTCGATTGTATTAAAACAGCCTTACATTTTAATACTTTAAAATAAAAATAATATGAAATATTAAAAAAATAATAATTTAACAATAAATAAATACTGGACAAAGTTGTGCAGAATATCTTGCAGTAAATCACTGTAATCAGTTTTACCATGAAATTATTAATTAACATCAAAACAGCTCATAATCACATTTCAATGCTCTAAAAAACATATTCACAATATTTAAAAAATAATAATAATTTAACAGCCATCCATCCATACATACATACATAAATAAATATTTAAATATAAACATGAATAAATACTCTGAAGAATATCTCAAATCACTTTTGATCAGTTTTCCATAAAATTATTTATTAACATTAAAACAGCTCATAATTACACACACCTCATGATCTTATATTTTAATACTATTAAAATAAAATATTCAAAATATTTAAAAATAATAATAATAATTTAACCAAAAACTAAACATTTAAATAAAACAAACAAAAAAATATATATAATCATTAAATTCTCTTAATAAAGCTCTGCAGAATAACTCTGTTTTTATTTTAACCGCCTAGCAACCACTCAGAAGCAGATTAGCAAATACTGGGAAGGTTTTCAGGCCAACTCCAACATTACAGCAGCATATTTTTCATGGACAAGCACCATTTAAATGCTCTTAATAAAATATAAAACTACAGCTTTAGGACCAAAGCAGACCTCATCGATATACAATTATAATTTCAGCTTTACAGTAGCTTCATATTGATGTCTGCTGCCAAAGATATCAGGCTCCTCTTGCAGGAGAGAGCTACAAATAAACTATGTTAAGACCTTCTCTGCAGACTTCAAACATCAAGCATCTAACACCATCCTCAGGCAACATAGACGAAGCAGTGGCTGGTTTTTGAGGCACCTGTGCATGCCGAGACCCGTTCAAACCCCTTTTCAATTGTGTCAGAAACACTCAAATGAACGACTCGGCTTTGGTCACATCCCAACACTTAATGCAACCATTATCTCCATAAACTCTTTCTATACGACACTCTTTGAGAGGAGTTAAATGTTAAGAGTGGGAAAACGCACTCATTAACTAGTACCCAGCAGGCCCGTTGCTAATGTAAAACCACCTCCAAGGAAAATTCAGGGAGAAGGATTTTCTACCGAGGCAAAATTCTAGACTGCTCAATTAGGTCATCTAATGGCTTCCCAGGAGATTGGATCACCTCACCTGCCCTTGTTCTTGCCATTCCGACTGAAACTTTAACTGAATAAGACAGTTGTTAAAAAAAGAAAGTCTCCATCTGATTTGCATGTGTATTTTGTGTAATAATACATGTAAACCCCAGACTCCGTTGGCATGTTTGTACCGCCATCACTGTAATTGGACGTTTCACCTTACTTAAGCAAAACCATCCACCGACATTCAGCTAGCGCTCAGGAATCCTCTCACAATTGTAAATGTTGCCACAATTAGTTACTGAAAGGGTTGGAACAAGTTGGGAACATGCCGCCAGAGGTAGAGCTATTTGGTAAATATGACAGCTGTTGGCACCGGTCTCTCTCAACCTCAACCAAACACATCGGTCCCCATTAAATCCACTCTGATGTTAACAGGTTGACATGCAAACAAGCTCGTTTTCAAAAACGCCAATGCTTTCCAAGTCGAGAAAATAGCATGAGCTGACAGAAAGAGAAACAAAGTGAGACGCGTTTTTGGTACTGGGACAAAGGTTGTCCTTGGACACTGGTGTATTTGCTGTGTGCTTATTTCAGGCCGAATAAACAAAATCCCAAGACAAGTGCATTTTACCAATAGCCAGAATGAAGATTTAGTGCCAAACCGATGAGTCTCATTTATAATCTCAGAGCTTTGTGCAATCAAAAGTGTGCACCCAAAAACAAACGCTTTCACAATTTGAAGTCATGCGTGAGGCACATTGAAAAACGAAGTACGGTGACATGTTATAGCAAGTCCAATTGAATTCCATTGCAAAAATGTAGCCCAGGTCACAGTTTTGGGCCAAACCTGACTCATTTTTCTCATAGCAGAGACTTCATTGTTAAAACCTCATTAAACTTGCTTCCTTAGAGAATGGGTGGTTTCCAGTGAAAACGTTGCAAGAAAAATTCAAGAGGAAAACCATTTTAATGGGGGTAAATTGCATTGTGGTGATCTCCTGACTTGCCAGAATGGAGAAATTTGCCAAGAATTGGTGGAAACGTTGAATTTGGTGCGATAAAGGTTAGTAAGAATTCCAGCATTACCACGTCCACTACTAAAAGAAGTAGCTAATAGAAAGCAAGCTAGATAAAACTGATTTGCTTTCAAAATGGTAAACCATTTTAATGGGGGTAAATTGCATTGTGATGATAACCTGACTTGCCAGAATGGAGAAATTTGCCAAGAATTGGAGCAAATGTTGAGATCCAGCATAACCATGCCCATTTTAATGGGAGAAAATGGCATTGTGGTGATCTCCTGACTTGCCAGAATGGAGAAACTGGCCAAGAATTAGTGCAATAAAGGTTAGTAAGGGTTCCAGCATAACCACATCCACTATGAAAAGACATAGCCAATAGGAATTAACCTAGAGAAATGTTCATATTTACCATTGGGTAAACCATTTTAATGGGGGTAAATGACATTGTGGTGGCCTCCTGACTTGCAAGAATGAAGAAACTGGTCAATAATTGGTGAAAATGTTGAAATTGGTGCGATAATGGTTAGTAAAAGTTTCAGCATAACCACAACCACTATTGAAAGAAGTAGCCAATATGAAGCAAGCTAGATGACTTAATGACTTAATTACCATTAGGTAAACCATTTTAATTGGAGTAAATGGCATTGTAGTGATCTCCTGACTTGCCGGAATGGATAAATTGGGCAAGAATTGGTGAAACTGGTGTAATAAAGATTCTAGCAAAACCATGCCCACAACTAAAAGATGTAGCTAATAGAAAGCAAGATAAAGTAACTGACTTATTTTCCAAATGGTAAACCATTTTAACAGGGGTAAATTGCATTTTGTTTATCTCCTGCAAATGTTGAAATTGGTGCGATAAAGGTTCGTAAGAGTTCCGACATAACCACGCCCACTACTGAAAGAAGTAGGAAGCAAGTTAGAGAAATTGGCTTATTTACCAATGGATTAACCATTTTAATGGGAGTAAATGGCATTGTGGTGATCTCATGACTTGCCAGAATGGAGAAACTGGCCAAGAATTGGTAATCTCCTGACTTGCCAGAATGGAGAAACTGGCCAAAATTGGTGATCTCCTGACTTGCCAGAATGGAGAAACTGGCCAAGAATTAGTGCAATAAAGGTTAGTAAGGATTCCAGCATAACCACATCAACTATGAAAAGAAGTAGCCAATAGGAATTAACCTAGAGAAATGTTCATATTTACCATTGGGTAAACCATTTTAATGAAGGTAAATTACATTGTGGTGGCCTCCTGACTTGCAAGAATGAAGAAACTGGTCAATAATTGGTGAAAATTTTGAAATTGGTGCGATAATGATTAGTAAATGTTTCAGCATAACCAAACCCACTATTGAAAGTAGTAGCCAATATGAAGCAAGCTAGATAAACTGACTTATTTACCTTTGGGTAAACCATATTAATGGGAGTAATTTGCTTTGTGATGATCTCCTGACTTGCCAGAATAGAGAAGTTAGCCAAGAATTGGTGCAATTGGTGCGATAAAGGTTAGTAAGAGTTCCAGCATAACCACGCCCACTATTGAAAGAAGTAGCCAATAGGAATCAAGCTAGAGAAATGGTCATATTTACCATTGGGTAACAGCTCTGGCTGCAGTGGCTGATGAGGGGTACTTCTTTCCTCTGCATACACACACACACACACACACACATTACAAAAACACTGCTTAGTCTTCCAAGATTGACTTTATAAACTGTATAAAACACCCTGGCCAGTCAAATTAGTTTTTAGTTGCCCTAGTACTCATAATGACCCTTTTATGAGGCTACAGGAGCAACTGAGTTCATAAACTCCCTGTCAAAAGGCCAGCTTAAACCAACCCAAGGTTGTGTACTGATTGTAGTTGGTTTAAGCTGGTTTAGAGCCCCTTAAACCGTCAAACTAGGTGAGCCTGAGCAGTCCAACATGATGTTTAACACGGTTAAATCAGTTTCGTACACTTTCGTACAGAGAGCAACAAGGCAGAGTGTTAGACTTCTCATGCATCGACAAGACAACACTCTCAACACAAAGCAGATAGATGCAGACCGGTTAGTATAAGAGAGCTTGACTACAACCTTCAGGGTAAACATTCAAAATGAGCAGGAAGGCGTGAATTGGTGTCATACGTAGATAAACTGTGGCAATGATTCCCACTGCAGTTCATCTAAGACATTCAATCACTTACCTGTGCTGTGACTTCTCAGTTTAACTGAAAACTACCAAATAACAAAGCCCATTGAACTGAACTGCTCATGAAACAAATGGTTTTAACAATATGATGCCTGGGGATTGTGTGTACCAGCCAGATGTGAGCATATGTTTCAGATTAGCATCTCTCTCAGGCTAAGAATCTCCACAACCCTTTTGTTTGCTAAGTGTCTTACTTCTGCGGAAATGTTCGTGCAAATCCACTGGCTTATGCGGAGGGCTTGGGTATGTCGTTTGATTATAGGATCGCATGAAGATGCCTGGACCCATGTGGAAAAACACTTAGCGGTTAGGTGTTAGCTGTTAGCGTTTTCACATTCTGTTTGGATATATTAGGAGTGAATTCCACTGGAAAGTGAGCATCACTTACTACTTGCTACGAAGATAAAGGTTCAAGGCATAACTACTATAGATGACTGTTTCCACAAAACTGTTTCAACATTGCTAAAAAATCTGAAATGTTTCTTGAGCAGCAAATCAGCATATTAGAATGATTTCTGAAGATCATGTGACACTGAAGACTGCAGTAATGATGCTGAAAATTCAGCTGCGCATCACAGGAATAAATCACATTTTAAAATATATTCAAATGTTAAACAGTTATTTGAAATTGTAATAACGTTTCACAATATTACTGTTTTACTGTATTTTCTAACAAATAAATGCAGCCTTGCTGAGCACAAAAGATTTCCCTAAAAATACATTAAAAAATCTTAATGATTCCACACTTTTGAGTGCAATTCAAATGATTTCAAATAGTACAATATACTGATTTGATCTGTCTACAAAGAGCACCATTATCCATCGACGACCATTAAAAAGTAGTTGTGCTTTCTGACTGCATAAATTGTGTGCAAATAACATTAAAACCTCAAATATATCATTATATTATCGTATTTACCAGTACCCAATTTCGTTACCACTTAGCAAAGTCGTTAATTGGAGCGTGTATGACTGAAACTGCCATTGAGATGAATGGGAATGCTAACGCATTGCTCTCTTCAGATATTTTTTGTCAATACTTGTGGATGTGTGATACTGTTTGTTTTATTGCCATCCCTTCCGCTCATTGTACGGTTTCAAACCAAACCTGTTTGGCAAAGCGAAACGTCAGTGACAGATTGAGAAGGCTGAAAGCCGTATAGAGTGCAAAAGTAATCAGAGCGACCGAAATCCATCCCCACTGGAGAAAAGCAGTCAATGAGGATGAAGAGAGAGGGTTAGAGAATAGATGAAGTAGCTCAAGGAACACAAAAGCCACCCAGTGAGATCAGAGTGATTGATTTTACTCTACCAATGTGCCATTGCGAGATTAAAGTCCGAGAGCTATTCCGCAGAGCAGTGAATCAAAGGATGTTCGGTTAAAAAAATTAGCAGAGATCACTTAGAAGCTATTCTGAGCTAAATTGCTCATAAGGATCCTATTGTATTGTAATGAGGTCTGACAAACGAAAATAAAAGCGATCTGATTCATTGATGTAAATGCTGAGCTATTTCTGCCGTCGGGGCGAATCCAACCAGAGATGCTAAAGTGTTGGTCAGACTCCAGTCACTGACCAAATCACTGCAATGGCATCTGAAAATGTCTTTAACACATGCTACGTCTGGTCCTCTGAACTGTTTCTTTCTTAATATGCTGTAAACAAAGCGAGGGGGAAAAACACAGTGAGATGGCAAGACTTAAAAAGAATGTAAAATGAAAGCTTTCTTTCAAGTTTCTTCAACTTGGACAGTTTTGACCATGTGGACATTTAGAAAATCAACTCTCTGAAATACACTCTGACTAGCTGAAGGTGAAGTATCACCAACTAGGAAGAATTCTTATTTTCTTCTAATTCTTAGTGCTTTTGTTGCTATAATACATTTAAATGAAATTGATAATAGATCTAAAAAATACATTTGAAAAAAATCTAATAAATTCATAATATGTATATTATTTACACATATTTACAATATAAAAATATTTTGATGATGTTTAATAACTGTAATACTGTTATTAATTATATTTTAATTTTAAATAATTATTTAATAATTAGTAGTAGTATTATTTTTTATATTTTATTAAAAAAGTAAGCTAATGAGAAATTATTTAAAAAAATTACAACAGGTCAAAACCAAAATTGTATAAATTGTATAAATTGACATATTATAAGTATTATTATTATAATAATAATTATTATTATTAGGCCATAAATACACAGAAATATTTTCAATAATTTTTTGTTTTATTTGCTGATTTATTATTTGTTTTATTTCTTAATAATAATAATAATAATATAAATAATATTTAATTAAACTAAATTAAAATTAAAATAAGATTTAAATTATTTTAATATTTAATTTTATTAACTTAATATTATTAAATTAAATGGCATTAAACTGATTAAAAGTAACAGTAAAGACATTTGTAATTTTACAAAGATTTCTATTACTATTACACTAAAGACAAGATGAAAATTCAGCTTTTCATCACAGAAATAAAGTATATTTCAAAATATATTAAACTATAAGAAACTTTTTTTAATTGTAATAATTTTTCACAATATTTTTACTGTATTTTTGATCAAATGAATGCAGCCTCAGTGAGCATAAAAGGCTCAAAAACATCAAACTCTTTCGTACTTCAAGTATATATAGACATATACTTTTTTTAACACTATATATTTTACTATTGCATTTAAAAAGTAGCAAGAAATAATAAAGGCATGCAGTAAAAAGTTTCCAAGAAAGTTTAAATGTGACTTTCATCAGTCATAAGTTCTAAAACTCGACCTCCGGGACACAGAAGTGCCTGTCGTTGAAGAAACATCAATCCAGCCTCTCTCCTCACCTTCTCTTATCATGCGAACGGTTTCCATCTCCTCAGGGGATTGTGGGTAGGCCACATCAATTACTCTGTGACTCCAACCCATCGCTCAACAGGGGCTCATTAATAAGTTCAGCTTGTTTTATTGTGGCTTTCTGGCCTATTAGAGCTCGTGAGAGAGCCTTGGGCAAGCGGCTCGATCTGGAATCCTGCGGGGGGAAATGTGCGACCCTGACAGATTCACCGCAGCCCTCTGGCCTCTGCGGCCTGCACTTTACTCAGCAGAGCGCTCGGTTTGGTCTTCGGGGGCCGTCAGACAAGCCAGACGTCTCATTTGCGGCACTGCTGGCAGGTTTCGGGGGGAACGGAGGGGTAATAATAGGGCGTCTGAGCGAGACCTTGACATAAGAGCTGGATCCAGAGTAAAAGAGGCGTGCAAGAAACACATCAGAAGCCAAACTAACCGCCGCTCGCTCGGGAAACAAGGTCCCTGACGTTGAGGCTGAATGCTGAAATGCTGATTTTAAAGCTCTGTCTTCGAGAGCGTGTGCATGTTTGTTTCTGTTTGGATGTGGCCGGATGTGAAGCCGGTTGCTAACTTCAGGATTCATAATGCCATCCTGAAGTCTGCGGGTCCGCTTGTTTTATGACTTTTCCAACTATTACAGCCGACGCTCCCAAGATCCATTTTCAGCTTCAGAGTACAAAAAACACAGATAAAAAGTGTCTTTTTTATGAGCAACGGTTTCTGTCGCTCACTCGCGGTAATATTGGCATTTGAGTTCAGTGTGACTAAACGACAAAGTATTAAATATTATTATATTTATTTTTGTATTAACAAAAATACAAAAATGATGGGTGAACCTCACAACAAATGTCCAGAACATAGTACAAAAAGAGAGAGAGAAACAAAATATCAATTTATATATTTATATAATATTTTATATAATATTTTACAAAATATATATTTACATTTAAATAGAAATGTTAATAGATCTAATAATATTATAAACATCTTATGCATTTATAAACAATACATTTAGATGTATGTACATGTAGTATTTAAAAATAATTTATTACTGATTAGTAGTAGTAGTAGCAGCATGCTATTATTATTATGATTATTATTATTATTATTCTTACTATCATTAAGCTAAGGACAAATAATCAAAATTAATAACTGATCTAAAAACAACAACAGCAATAATTTACTGATTATTATTTGTAATAATAATAACAATAATAATAATAATAATACACTTATGATACACGAGTAAAATATTATGATTATTATTATTATTATGCTAATGATAAATTAACCAAATTCACTACATCATACTTATTATATAATAAATTAATAATTATATAAACTATTATAATAATAATAATAATAATAATAATAATTATTATTATTATTACTACTATCATTAAGCTAAGGACAAATAATCAAAAATGAATAACTGATCTAAAAACAACAACAGCAATAATTTACTGATTATTATTTGTAATAATAATAATAATAATAATACGCTTATGATACATGAGTAAATTATTATTATTATGCTAATGATAAATTAACCAAATTCATTACATCATACTTATTATATAATAAATTAATAATTATATAAACTATAATA